ATATTTTACGATAATCATTAATCTTATAAAATTTATTAACTGAATAAATGAAATAAAAACGAACTAATGAATATCTAAATGTAATCCTTCATCGATCTTGAATCGATAATTTTCATGGAATAAAATTTCCTCATCATCCAATCTCGGTCGTCAAACAAGTATAGTCGGATCCGCAGGCAATTCTTCGTGTCCTCGCGCGAGTTTTTGCTAGAGTATGTGAGTGCGTGTCGCGAATGCAACGTGCCATGTATGCTGTCGTTGCGGGCTTTCAAGCGAACGAGCGTAAGTCGCTCAAATTGGTATGGATTTCCAGTCCAACACCTCGATTGTCCCCAGTGAAGAGTACTTCGCGAGCATACATGAATTCACGCCTCGAACACACACGCGCCGACCTCATCTGTGCGCAAGCTTACCTCACAAACATACAAACATATATATACATACGCACATAGGATATGTATATATATATATAAATATATATGTGTGTGTGTGTGTGTAAATTCAGACGCAGGCGCAAGAAGCTAACGCGTTCTTGCGTGTGCGTGAAGCACGGAAAACGATGAGGAACCTTGATTGCGTGCCTCTGAATACGTTTCCAGCCGTTCTCTAAGTAGCAGCTCATTCCGAGCTTGCCTGCTTGCAAGTTGGAAAGCGAAGGTAGGTAGGTAGTAGCCAACTCGGAAGGGCCAACATGTATGTGCGCGCGCGCTCAAACGATTTTCTTCTCCCTTCTATGCGTTCGCGTTTGCTCTTCTTTCTCTATCCATCCCCTTGTCGCTAATTTGTAGGGTGAAAGAGAACTCGCAATTTTCCGTCGAATCGCAACAAACGACTATACGATTACTCTCTACTTTTTATTTCTTTCTTATTCCTTTTCCTATCCAATTTTCTTATATAAATAAACGAAAAATAAGGTACGGATTATATATATATATATATATATATATATATATATATATATATATCTGCGCGTGTATATATATGTGGAAATGAGGCACACGCGTATGTTTCTTGTATTGAATAGGAATGAAGAAGAAAAGTAGAAAGAGAGAAAGAGAAAGGGGAGAGAGAGAAAGAGAGAGAGAGAGAGAGAGAGAGAGAGAGAGAGAATAAGCTTTTCAAGGAGTAACCGCAAATCCTAGTATAATACTAATAGGGCCATAATAGGGTCAATAGGGCTTAGCCGTGCGACGACAATAAGATCCTGTCAAAATACACGCCTGTAACACGAGACTTAGGAAGTGGATTTTTCTCAATGGACTTGCCCTTGTCCTCTCTCTCTCTCTCTCTCTCTCTCTCTCTCTCTCTCTCTCTTTCTAGTGTCGTTGGTATTATGTGGTTTTCAAAAAATTTGAAACCTCATGGTCCTAGCAACCCAGCCGGTAGTAAAGCTGACACGATGATCGAGGCTTAAATTTCTCCTTCATCTCAATTTTGAGTGGCTCCAACGATCATTACGAGGGGAAGGAAAAGAAAAAAGAAGAAGAAAAAATATCAGGAAATAGAATGCTATAGAGAACTTTGCGACACGTACGCGTGCTTCAAGTGAACAATTCTAAGAAATATTCTATTCGATAATTTTCAAGTTATTGATAGTTGTTATAAGTGAGGGTGATAAGATGAGGGGATTGGTAATGTAAGAAAGAAAACATTAATGTTTAATATCGCATTAGGCATCTTTCTTTTTTTTTTTTATTTTTTGTTTTGTTTTGTTTTTATTTTAGAACCGATCTAATGATATTCTTTTTTAAGTTAATTTATCAAACAAACGGCGCAAACTCGGTTCAAGCTCAGCATCCCTATTTTAAGACGACGGCTCGTTAAAGTCGTTTTAGGGTGGAGCTCGACTCTCCAAGGCAGTCTACCCATTCCTCTTCTCACCCCCGCGAACTTATATACGACCACAGTAAACCCCCGTTTTCAAACGACACGAGTTTCACCACCGACACCAACATTGCCCTGAGACTACCAGGCCTAACTTTCTTAGAAACGGGGGAATCTTTTTCAACCCCTGTTTTTCAAGCCCATGCCTCGATGTTACTTCGCGAAGAAGACGACTTTATTAGAAAATGGCCGTACTGAAACGTCTTAATACCACTAGCAAGACTTAACCTCCTCGCTAACTCAAGCAGGAATGCTTCCTTTTCTTCTCTTTCTTCGTCATCATTTTTCTTTTTCTTTTTACCCTAACGAGATGAATGAAAGGACAGTTAGGTGTATCTAGTTCCTCTCTCTCTTTCTCTCTTTCTCTCTTTCTTTCTGTCTCTCTATCTCTCTCACTCTGTCGTCATTTGGAATTGAAAGCTCGTGCTACTTCGTAATGGTCACCTCTCTCTTTTTACCTTTCTCGAAAATATGATGCGACGTTAAAAGGCTAACTTTTTCTTTTCTCGGACTAGGTAATTAACGACACGGAAATATGAGAGAAAAAAAAATTAACGAACATTTTGAAACCTCATCGGAATTACCTTTCGTTTACCTACGTTTCTTTTTCTTTTTTTTTTTTTTTTTTTTTTCTTAACGTATCTCGAAATTACGTTCTGTTCTCTCATTACATTATCGGTACCTATTTTAATTGAATTTAGACGAAGCAGAAAAGGTCAGGACTCTTGGCTTTTCGCAGGGACTATTCGACGAAGAAATGCGACCTCGTGTCGTGGAGTTTCACGGAGTTTTAATTAATCGAATCGCAGCCGACTAACTCCTCCTACCCATGTCGTTAAGAGAGAGAGAGAGAGCAAGAGAAAGAGAGAGAGAGAGAGAGAGAGAGAGAGAGAGAACGGCCTCCGCGAAAATCCATGGAGATTACTCGAATTAAAAATATATTAACGAGGTGTAACGAAGTAATCAAGTCTACCCAAATGCTTTAAAACATATTTTCTATTTTCGAGTAATACAACACAATACAAACAAGAAGACGAAGAAGAAGAAGATAATGAAGAAGATAAAAAAATTTCTTTTTTTTTTCTCTTTGTTACAGGATTCTCTCAGACGAAAGGGACCTTCTCGAATGCAAGTCCAGGTGAGATCATCATCATTGCGAGAAAAGGATTATAGTTTTTTTTCTTACTTTCTTTCTTTCCTTCCTTCTTTCGTATTTAGTTCAAAAAACATAGGAAAGGAAAAAACAAAAAGAAAAAAAAAAAAAGGGAAAAAAGGAAAACAAATATTCTCTCTTTCTCGTTATTGTCATACAGATGGCTCTCCGTTTACTCCAAGGATGACGTCATGCTCACGAAAGACGAGTCAGGAAAAAGATACTCTCATTTCGTATTCGGGTGCACGATGATTCCGATTTTTCCAAGCCATTAAACACGAGCTCGCTTGCTTCGCAAAGCGATGCTACTCGTAACGAGAAACGACAGGTTGAAAATGATCACCACCATGATGACCTTCCTTTCAAATATAAATGCTCGATAATATGGATCGATTTTTCAATTCAAATTTATAAAGTTCTTTACGAAGGAATAAGATAAATATAAATATCTTTTACTATCTTTTTTTATCATCATTTTATATCTGTACATGAGAACGAACGAAGAAAAATTTGCGGAAACGCGATCAAAAAAAAAGTACTAAGAAGAGGAAGGAAAGACGTAAAAAAAAAAAAAAAAGAAAAAAAAGAAAAAGAAAAGAAAAGATAGGAGAGTTCCAATAACAGGAAAAATTCACTCCTCCCAAAAGTCGTATCGAGTGTCCTGTCAAAACATTGAGAAAATTTTCAACTACCCGGACACGCCCAAACACATTGAAACGCTAATCGGTAAGGAGAGACTTTCCTTTTAAGAAATTCGAGTCCAGACTAGATAATCGTTCTAGAATTAGAAAGAAAGAAAGAAAGAAAGAAAGAAAGAAAGAAAGAAAGAAAGAACGGAAGAAAGAGAGAAAGAAAGAAAGAAAGAAAGAAAGAAAGAAAGAAAGAAGACATTTTTTTATATAACTATAACTCTAAGATTGTTGTATTTTTTCTTTTTGTTGTTGTTGTTGTTGCATAAGACCAAAATGAAAATAATTCCTTTTTAGTTTCTTTACTTTTGTCTTGACTGCTTTCTCGAAGTAACGAACCTTAATCAAGTTCGAGGGAAAATAGAGGGAGAGGGGGAAGAGAGAGAGAGAGAGATAGAGATAGAGATAGAGAGAGAGAGAGAGAGAGAGAGAGAGAGAGAGAAAAGTAGCAGATATATTTCTATCGACGAACACAAAGCTCTTCCTCTGGTAGGATCGAAGGACTTGGAATGGAGGGTGGTAGGGTGAAGGGAAAGCGATGGAACGGTAACGAGCTTTCCGTCAGAATTGCTTGTTTTAACAACTGTGCGGTACTTTGAGAGCTCAGGTACGAACTACACGAAATGTAGCGACGGATGAGAGAGAAAGAGAGAGAGAGAGAGAGAGAGAGAGAGGTGGAAGAGTGAGAGGGGAGGAGAGAGGGAGAGAGAGAAAATACGGCTGACGGTTTTCGCAAGGTAACAGCGCCTTTGCGAACGTAATAGTCCAATTTGTTGGCAAAGAAAAATACCGAAGGATTTTCAGAGTAAAGGAAAAGCTCCTTCTACTCCTTCTCCTTCTCCTTCTCCTTCTCCTTCTTCTTCTTCTTCTTCTTCTTCTTCAACCTACCCCTTTTGCCTGAGGCTAGGACGATAGCGGTACTCTGTAAAGACGTCTGGGAAAATTGGAAACGAGGGAAACATCGCTAAAAAGAAAACTTGCAAGCTCTCCCTCTTCGGATCTTTTTCTATCTATCAAGCTACCTACTTTGGTAATATCGAGAATCGACAGATATTACGTTCGCCACGCGTCCGAGGAAGGAGAAGTCTCGAATAAAGAAGAAGAAGAAGAAGAAGAAGAATAAAAAGAAAAAGTGCGACGTCCGATCCAATCATCTTCGTTGCTTTCGGTATCGATTTCCTCGCTCGTTGGAAACTTGCTCTCTTGGTTGAAAAGAAACGCGTAAGACGGTAGTCTGAGAAGAAGGAGGAGGGAGGAGTTACGAAGGAAAGAAAGAAGAAAAGAGTAGAAAAGCCGATTTCTATAAAAGGTTTAAAATCGTAGTCCAAGCTGACTAAAATCATGGTCTCGAAGGAAAAAAAAGAGAGAGAGAGAGAGAGAAAGAGACAGTATTTTTTTACAATAAAAAATGAAGAGAACCCCATAGCTTGATTACTAAATTCGTTTGAAGAATGTATCATTGTAAAAAAAAATTTCATCGTATGAGCTCGAAATTAAAGGGACAATGGACATTCCTAATCGAACTATCTATCAATGATAAAATCAAAATATATTTCTTTCGAACGCGATTCAACCTTTTATATAAGTATTAACGTAAACATATGTGGAATCTCTCTATCTCTCTCTTTTTTTTCTTCTTTTTTTTTCTTTTTTTTTTTCTTTTTTTTAGTTCACGAAAGGATTGGAACTTTCTTTTAAGGAAGTGGAAGAAAATTGAAAGAGGTGTTGCCGATTTACGAGGGATTTGGGAAAGGCGATTCACGTAAATGCCTCTTCTCTTTCTCTCTCATCCTCCGCTCCTCTCCTTTCCTCTCCTCACCATTCCTCTTCTCTTCTCTTCTCTTCTCTTCTCTTCTCTCCTGTCCTATGCTCCTCACTCCTCCTCTTCTTATATTCTTCGATCTCCTTCCTTCCCACTTCTCTTGCCTTCCTTCCTTCCTTCTCTAGCGAGCGATTGTAACCGGCGGTGACTCGAGATGCGCGTGTGTTCCCATACAGCTCCTTTCATTCGAGAGACTCCAGAAGAGGAGAAGTGGATGGACGAGACGAGGGTGTCGTTCGAGAGGTGAAAGGAGAGATATAAATAGAGAGAGCGTGCGAGCGAGTTCGCTTGTACAAGAGAAAAAGAGAGAGAGAGAGAGAGAGAGAGAGAGAGAGAGAGAGAGAGATAGATAGATAGATAGAGAGATAGAGAGAGAAAGAGAGAGAGAGAAAAGCTAAGAGAGAAAAAGAAGGTTAAAGGGGGTGGGCAAGGGGAGCCGAGAGCTGCTACGCCGGAGGAGGCGACAAAGATATTAATTAAGAATTAACACGCGTACTGAAACCACCCTTAATTAGTAACAGTCAGCGCCTGGAGCAGCAGTTTGTTTGCACGGACCTGTACTACTGGCTGTCGCCAGGGCGATTCACTCGAGATGGAGGGTAAACGCGGGGAACGAGTCGCGATCAAAAAACATACCGCGGGACACCCAAGTCATTTCTATGAGACCGCTATTTTTTTTTTCTTCTTCTTCTTCTTTTTCTTCTTCTCTTTTATTTTTATTTTTCTCTTTTTTTCTCTTTTTTCTCTTTTTTCTTTTTTTGTTTTTTTTTTGTTTCTTTTTTGTTTTTTTTTTATCTATGCGAATCTCGATCTTGTCTAGGCTCCATTCGATTTTTATCTTAATTAACATCATTACGCAGACCTGATTCCTATATTACTAATTTATTATTAATAGTTACGTAGTTTCCTTTTATCCTTAATATCATTCAATTATTTTCCAATGTTATTATAAAAAGAAATACATAATTAGGTCAATTATCTCTAATACAGAATCATTTGATATGACGAATTAATTATCATTGTTATTTGATTGATACATAGAAAATGTAGAAATAAATGCAACTACATGTTACTCGAATAGAATAAGAAAATTGAAAAGGAATATAATTTTTAATTGTTTTCACTTTGTACGGGTTTACCCATTGAGACTAACTAAACGGATGAAGCGTAGTAAAATTATGGATAATCTGGACAATGAACACTTGTCTAATAATATTTTTGAACAAATTTAAAGGACAATCGATATACGTATAGTGTGTCGATCGTTAAACTCGTTGTGCTACTTTCTTTCTCTCTCTCTCTCTCTCTCTCTCTCCCCCTCTCTCTCCCTCTCCCTGTCTCTGTCTTTCTTTTTCTCTCTTATTTAATTTCATATCTAGAAAATTGTTTCTCGTTTCTTTCACGTTACCTACATAGAAATTATTTCTAATTATCAAGGATTATTACATTATTTCAATTCTTTAGTCCCGGCACTACCTACGCGAATTCCTTTAGCGTAATGCCGAAGAAATAATAGGCCGAGCGTTTCTCACCGAGCGCAGATTTTATTCTTAAGACGTTTGCCCTGGAGGCTAAGAAGAATATTAAGAATTAAATAATGGTTATAATATTTAAAAAGGGTCGACCGCGTACTTCGTTGGCTGGTAACGAACGACGCGTTTCGTTGCGACCGTATTCGTGCTTCGTTTAGGCTTAAAAAGGAAAAAGAAAAAGGAAAAAGAAAAAGAAAAAAAAAAGAAAAAGAAAAAGAAAAAGAAAAAGAGGGAGAAGGAGGAGGAGGAGGAGGGATGAAAAAATTAAAAAGAAAAAATACTGCTTTTTAAGGTACGACCGGAGAAAAAATATTTCTTTTCGTTACTCTTACATGAAGAAATAAAAGAAAGAAAGAAAGAAAGAAAGAAAGAAAGAAAGAAAGAAAGAAAGAAAGTTTCCTTTCGTCTTAAGATGTCAAGAGAGTTTTACAGAAGCCTAGGAAGCATTGTTTTCGTGCATGCTTAGACCTCCATACTTCCCAAGCGAATTCTCATAATCTTCGAATTTCTAAATAGTAAGTTACTTAATAACTCAAATCGATAGTAATCAAATTTGAAGAAAGAGATAAAAGAGAAAACTAATCGATAGTAACATATGTATTCTCTTGTATTGATCTCTCAATATTTCAATGTTTTGCAGGAAACAGGATCGATGTATTATACCTATACATGTATGTCTATACACTATACCTATGTAGTACTTAAATACATACATACATACATACATACATACATAGCGTCGGGTTGCGTGGAGCACGTGAAATCATGACGTCACGAACTGGAGGCCATTTTGGCTCAGCTGGTCTTGACAAAAGACTCGAATGGTAGGACGCCATATCCTGCGACGGTCGTTAATACAATGGACAATGATTCGCTTACGGAGTCCTACGCATACTCTGACGTTTGCATAAGCAACAGAGAGAGAGAGAGAGAGAGAGAGAG